CACGGACACGGTGTTAAAATGGGTGATGTTGGGGGCGCATTGAGTACGTTCTTCGTTGTTCATCTGGAAAGTTATGTGAAACAACGACGACGGCATGAAGGCGTCTGCTTCCTGAGTGGAACGTGCCGTGCACCAACTGTGTCGTAGCGGATTTTTAGTTCGGGAGGACTACCCAGAAATGTCGGCCACGGACAGATGCACTAACGAGTCTTGAGTTGTTCTCAGTAACTCAGCTTTAGCGATTGAAACACCCATTTACCGTAACTGTGAGACTCCGGTGATGAAAGTGCGTCTTCTACAAACTCTTAAGATTGTTTAATAAAAAAAAAAAACAAAAAAAAAACACCTAATGTGTTAGTATTTGAAGGTGTTCAGCTTCGATAAGTGCTCATGTATTTGCGCGACGGCCAATTACGTCAGTGGGGCTTATAAATGGGGGGGGGGGGGGGGGGGGGGCTTGTCAGATGGCGCGTCATTTTTTACGAGATACTTGGGTGAATGCGAGTCAACACAATCTTTACCTCGCATTCACACCACGCGCGAAGGTCAGTGCACGGTGTAATGTCTGAACGATCGTTCGTCAGTTTCGCCGCCACTTTCAGCCGTGCTGAGCTAAGTTGCGCCGATCCCCAAGGCGATCGGTATACCAGCTGCCTTCCTGGCGAATATTCCGTTTGCCTTCGGGGTCTAAAACATACAGATGCACCCTGGGAAAATAAGCGCCAAAAAAAACACGGACAAAGAGTAGATTGACAACGACACAGGGCGCACTCTCAACTGAATTTTGGCGCTTATTTTCCCACGATGTACTAACTGGCCCATCTAAGCATTTTATTGCAGATGCACCCTGTCTGAAGAGGGATGTTTTTGCTCGCGCACGTCCGTCGGTTAGTACCAGTCTTGACGGTGACAGCGCAGGAAAAATCAATCTCACACCAGACACTCAGGCGGACAAGCACACGCGCTGAACTTACAACTCATGTTTATTCGTTTATTCGATTACTTCATTTTTCTTTTCAACGTCTGGGTTGACTTTTCAGAACGTGATAAGTAGAAGAAGTAGCACGAAATACAAAGGAAAATTCTAAAGAGAAGTCAAAAGAACAGTAAAAGAGAAGAAAAAGAAGAAACGGAAAACATATCTAAACGAAACACTTTTACAAATCGTCCCTCTCCCTCATCGCTATCATTTGGATAGAAATTGGAGCTCTTTGGTCGACAGCGCCATAGAAGGACTACTTACACACTTGTCCTTCAGCTGTGCTATTTTTTCCGCTTCCATTATTTCTCTAGTCAAAGCGTTCCTACTCCTACCTATTACAGAACAATTTTCAAAATGTGCTACACAGTCACAATCGCGACAATGGATTCCCAAGTGTCCAGCTACGACTCGGTGGGTGTTATAAAAATGCTCTCTTAAAGGTGTATCCACACGACGGACCAAATTGCTGTTTTGGTCCGCGGGCCGCGCATCACGTGACCTTACGTCACCGGTTTTCGAGGTCCGCCGGCGGTCCGCGGCCTGCGCTTGTGAGAAATGCCAAGCACTTTTCTCGCCCGGACCTTGGCGGCGGACCGCGGCGTTTTTAGTATTATTGAAGTGCTAAGTCTGGCAACGAGCTGACTTTTGTTGTTTGGATTGGAATCCAAATCCAAAGTCGTGTTCTTTTGGCGCCCACTGTTGAAGACCAAGAAGAGGAACCTTTTGTTGTACGACGATGGCGGCATGGTGCGACGATGCAACTTTTTACTTCATCGCGCTCGTGGAGCGATTCCCCGCCCTGTGGGACAATAGATGCATGCCCTTTTCGGTTCACTTAAGTCTTCCTCGTCCTCAATAGTCAACGCCAGGGCCACCGCAGCCAAACGTCTCTTTCGGTCAACCTCCATCTTGGCTCCTTACAAATAGCCTTAAAGCAGCTCACTGCATGCGTTTGGCGGAGCTGTGAGGTCGAGGGTTAGACCGACTCTTTTGGTCCGCCGTGTGAATGGTCATTGCAGCCGGGCGGCCCGCGGACCGCGCATCACGTGATCAATCGGTCCGCGGCCCGGTCCGTCGTGTGGATACACCTTAAACGATCGTTCAGACACCTTCCAGTCTGGCCTATATACTCTCTACCACATGAGAGTGGGACAGAATATACGACTCCTTCAGTACGTTGGTCATTCGAACCGAGAGGGAAGAAACCTCTTCTTAATTTTCAGTCAGCACACTCCAAGCTTGTTAAGCGAGGCATTGTTAAATTATGTCTCACCAATGCGCTTAATAAGTCATGTATTCATTCACTTAAGGTTAGCTTTGATGCTCAAATTGCCAGGTTAAAGTCAACAGGATATCCTAGTGCATTACTTACAGCTGTGGCAGAGGATTTATGAAAGAGAATAAGATGGGGTGAGCGACCTAAACGCAGTACAGAAAAGAAAAGGACGGCCGTTGTTCCATATATACATAAAGTTTCGCACGGTCTAAAAAAGATAGGTAACCGCATTAACATTAATGTTGCTTTTTCAGCACCAAATAAGCTTCTAAGCCTGTGCAGGAAGGTAAACGGATCGGCACACCGGGAAGTTGGTTGTTCGAAAAAGCACCAAAAGAGCTTTGTAAATTGTACTGAAGGAGTCGTATATTCTGTCCCACTCTCATGGGGTGGAGAGTATATAGGCCAGACTGGAAGGTGTCTGAACGATCGTTTAAAGGGGCGGTGCAACAATATTCAGTTGGAATGTTTTTCACTTTATACGAGCTTACTGGCACTAATGGGACTCAAGGATACTCGCACGCAAAGCCACTGACCAAGAAACTCTTTTTTATGCGCTGTAATTTTGAGGACAAAACCGAGCTTTTTCATTCAATCTCTCCTTCGCAAAACCTGATGACGTAGCTCGGCGGTAGCAGTACCGCCCAGTGACGATATTTGAATGCGGCTCATAGATTGGACCCGAGCATTGCCAACCCAGTCAACCCAGACGTTGAAGAGAAAAATGAAGTAATCGAATACACAAGAGTTGTAAGTTCAGCGCGTGTGCTTGTCTTCCTGAGTGTCTGGTGTGAGATTGATTTTTCCTGCGCTGTCACCGTCAAGTATGGTTCACCAACTCGCCCAAGCTTCCATCCTATCTAGTACCAGTCGAGTGCATTAGTCCCCAGCATAGGTCGGCATTTCCGAACCCACTCACTCACCATCACATCACTAATTACAGCAACATCCAAAAGTCACAGCCCTTCACATCACAAAGTACATCGACGTCCAAAAGTCACAGCTTTTCACATCACAGAGTACACCGACGTCTAAAAGTCACGGCCTTTCACATCACAAAGTACACCGACGTCCAAACATCACAGCCCTTCACATCACAGAGTACATCGATGTCTAATATTCACGGCCCTTCACATCACAAAGTACACCGACGTCCGAAAGTCACGGCCATTCACATCACGGAGTTCAACCGGACAACAAACTCATCCCCATCACGTCACCACAATCTCTGAACTCACAAAGTCATTCACCGTCACTTCACGAATCCGTCAAGTTCACGAAGTACTTCACCGTCCCATCACGAATCCTATAGAGTTCATGAAGCATTCCCCATCTCATCACCGCCAACTCTGAATTCACGAAGTCGCTCACCGTCCCATCACGAGCTCATCGAGTTCAGCAAGTCGTTCCCCTCACGTCCGTGAACTGATCCCGTTCATGAAGTCGTTCGACCGGTTCGACTTCACGGCCCTTCACCGAGTCACAGTCATTCACCGAGTCACAGCCATTCACCGAGTCACCGAGTCACCGAGGTCACGGAAAGCGGCGTCGGCCCCTGCAGCCGCGGCCACCGCCACTGCCTCCGGCTCTCAGCCATCCTCGAAGTTCTTTCGCAGCGGCGCTGACGGCTCCAGATGTGTGTGTCAGTGTGTGTGTGTGTGTGTGTGTGTGTGTGTATGTGGGGGGGGGGGGGGGGGGGGGTATTGGGCTGGGCCGGGCGACGCACCCTGCACTTGTCATTTTCTTTGTTTAGCTTGTTCCCTCTGGTTTTAGTTTTGTTGTCCCGTTTCTTTTATTTTCGTTTTGTTTCGCGCTTTCTTCATCGAGCGCGCATGCTGTGGAGAGCGAGCGGCTTCTTGACTTCCCTGCTCCGAACTTGTGAGATAAGGTGCTTGTTTCCGGGAGAGTTATTAGCCCCACGGAGGCCCAGAACCAAAATGGCTGCTGGTTTGTGGGCGAGCGGTATTACGAAGGGTGGCATCACTCTAGCAAAGCGCACATGAAGGCTCCCTAGACTTCGCCTGGTTGTCGGCGTTGTGATTGTGGAGGGGACCCCACCTGAAAACCTTCTGGCCTGTCCTTTTTTTTACCTTTTGTTGCGGACGGTTTTTTCTACGAAAAAAAGAAAGAAGGCGCTTATATTTTTGCCAACGACCGCTCGCCGAGGGGGCAAAAAGGAGAGACAGACACGAACCTGCGTGCACGATTTTTGTGAAACATCTCACAAACATTAATACGAGTCCATATTATATGAACGAAGACGTTTTAGCGCATTAGAGTTTAGCGAATAGAGATCACATACGCGAGTCACCGTTTAGGCATTTGTAGGGGCGGCAAACTGGGCATCCAAACACACCGCGCCAGGCGGTCTGTTCAGAATGATAGCAAGGGGTGCTTCGGTATAGTTTGGGGGAAATAATATGAACTGAAGTTCGAGCGTCCATCGCCAAAGGTTCGGCAAGCTCGAAAACAGGACAGCGGCGGCCTTCATTTTATCTATTCGGTCAAATGAACACTGCCATTCGCTAAAGTGGCATTCGATGAAACGCCGTGGGCCAGGTTTCGCTCGCTAAACCGTCGTTCGATCAGTACAAAATTGTTCTGTGTATTTTATCTTAATAATTATGATCCATGGCAACCAGCTATATCGTTGCCTACCTCACTTTACGTCGTAAAATAGCGCGTTGATGTCACTTTCATAAGAGATACCATAATAACGCAGTACTTCACAGCCGACCGCTGAATCACCCGTCTAATATTTTGTCACGGATTTCATCATATATATATATATATATGAAGTAGACATTCCAAAACAAGAGTCATCCATTCCCAAAAATTTCAGTGGACTGGAACTACCTTCCCACATCTGTTGCCACAATTGCCACTTACTATATGTTTAAAAATTGCCGTAAATAATCTATACAGCTCAGACTGAGCTCCAAAGTGTACAGCTTTGTTCTGTTCTCTTCTAACTCCCGCTCACCTCTGTAATGCTGATGGCCCTGAGGGTATGTCAGTTAAACAAATAAATAAAAAAAGTAAGTGCCTCGGCTGAAAAACCTCTTAAAGAGGTCGCCTCTTTAAGAGGTTTGCAGCTTGCCGAAGCAATGAAATCTGTGTTTTATTCGAACCCATTGGTCAGAGTACACCTCATCATTAATTAAACCACTCATTGGATCATTCAACTCAAAGCAATATGTTTACTTCTGAGCGTGTTCGTGTCGCTCAACCTACTTTGAGCGAAATGCAGTCGAGATAACTAATGATGGCGCTCGACTCCACTTTTCTCTAAAGCCCCTTGATGTGTTTACGTGTCTTGCTAGTAGCGTCAAATGCGCGAGCGCACGAGGCCCATGTCTCGAGCGGCCCCTGGAAGCAAATGGCGGTGCAGCACTGAAATGAGCGGCCTTTGGAAGCGAATGGCGGCGGAGCACGCGCTCGCGGCACGTATCTCGCGCGTTTTCACAACAATGGTTGGCGGTACTTGTAAAAACGGCCTTTATCAAGGGGCTTTACTTTTCTCAGCTTTAAACCGAGGCGAGGCGCGCGACTCACGCGCGCCTCGCGCTCGTTGTTTGGCTGCGCATAGACTCGTATTAGATGTAGCGTACTGTGTTTTCGGAGTTCATGTTTGAATAGAATCGGAGCGTGTTTTTAGGAGTTTATTTTGTAGCGTAGTCTACACTGGCCGAGGCTGAGCAGTTTCGCGTGGCTTCTGGCGAGCCGTGCTGCGTATGCGCGAGGAGCAGTGACGTCACACGTGTCAGCACCGACTGGCCTACCTTCAAACTTTACCACAGTTCGACTAAACATCTGTTGGACAAAGAGTCAATCATTTGCTAAAGTCCGACGGGGCGGTGTTCGCGAATATAATAGACTCGGAAACTTGATGGGACGCAAGTTCTTGAAGCGGGAATCTCTACGAAGCGTTTTATTAAAGGACAGGGTCTTCTAGTTTCACCCCTTGACACTGCTTTCAGTCAGGATGGCACGCGCTGTGCGATTGATTGGGAGCTAGTGCGCCACTTTCCGCGAGAACACCAGTAATGCAGGCGGCTGCTACCAACGGAGAAAACTGCGAATGACAAGGTCTAAAGTATCTAGACTTAAAGGGGCGGTGCAACGATATTCAATTGGAATGTTTTTCACTTTACACGAGCTTACTGGCACTAGTGGTTCTCAAGGATACTCACACGCAACACCACTGGCCAAGAAACTCCTTTGTTGCGCTGTAATTTCAAGGAGAAAACCGAGCGTTTTCATTCAATCTCTCCTTCGCAAAACCTGGTAACGTAGCTGGGCGGTAGCAGTACCGTGACGATATGTGAATGCGGCTCATAGATTGGACCCGAGCATGGCGTGGACACTCGATTTGGGCTCGTGATAATCGATAGCTCGAGAAGCATTCGGGTATGTCCTGTGTCCAAGCACTGCAATGACGAAAACAGCCGAACCATAACAATGTCTGGAACGCAGCGCGTGTCCTGTGCTTTGCCAACCCCAGCGCGTGGCTATGATCAACACTGGCGGCATATAATCGGCTCCAGATCACGTGGCCGCTTGTTCTGGCTGCGAGTTGAGGGGTGAACTTTGCTCGTTTTTTTTTATGTTTTTCTACCACTTCGATTGTGTGTGGTGAAAAACGAACGGGTAATTTACAGGTCATTATCGTCAGGGATCCGTCCTAAGCGGTATTTGCGCAAAATACAAAAATCGTTGCATTGCCCCTTTAAAAATGAATTTCCTAACGTTATACTCACATGACGTGACGTGAGCATGTAAAACGTGGTGCTCAATGGCACCTCATTTCACCTCATTTTTCCACTATATTTTATACACCAACTCATGTTTACAAACAAACTGGAGCGCTCCTAGCCGACGCCACCGGCGCCGCGCATGAGCGATGGGGTGTGGGCAAGAAGCTCGCCGCGTCGCCGATAAACAAACCATTGAATTGCGTTGTTGTCGGCAGTGGTGTGAGTCCAACGCAGGTTTCTGCGTTGGAATTGTTGATTCTACGTCTTCCTGGGCAATGCCTGACTACTTGAGCAGCCTCAGCGAAATTACTGAGGCTCGCTATACCACAAAACTTCGCGTGAATAATGTGACATGCGGCGATTCATTCCGCGTGGACGCCGCAGAGGGTACTCTAAAGCCTGATTCGCATGATGAAATTTCGGTCGCAATTTTCAGTCATGACGTCGCTCGGGTTACAACAGCGTGAACCGTAGCTGAGATGTTCAACATCGATACTGAAAATCGCAAGCAGAATCGGACCAAGTGAATGAGGCATAACAAGTCGTTGATGGTCACTGGTAACAGCGATCAACATCTCCTTGTATCCACTGTTTACATCGAGCCTGCTTACCAATTTTCAAACTTAAGTATTTTGAGGCCTGCACTCACTTCTTATCGCAAGTACCGGGCCAACATTTGGTCCACGGGCCGGTGTCGTCTAAAAGAGCAGACGACGAGCAGAAGCGTTTGAAAGAGCAGACGACAGTTCGAGCGATCAGGCGGCCGTTCGATCTTGAAGACGCACTGAACGTCCGCATGCAGGCGGTCCCAACAACTTGGCGGTATTCCCGCTTTCATGACGGAACAAAACAAATAAATCTGATGACAACAAGTATCCGTGAATTTAACCCAAACTGCTTCCCGCCCAAGCAATCGTGGTCCGACGGCGACTGGTTTTCCATTTTCACGGCACATATCCACGTTCTCGGACGAACCGAGCACATGAAAACTGATCTTCAAACCTTTCTCGACCCTTTTGGTGCAGCCTCAGTTGCGGCGTTTTGACAAGAAGGCAAGTTTTTGTCAGGTTTTTTTTTTAATACAACCCTAGAATACACGTCTCACATAGGGACTTCCGCCTTCAGCCCCAGACCGGAAGTGCGCCCGACGCGTGACCATCGCGCCGTGACGTAACAGAGATGAGTTCGTTGGTTCGTGTATAGCCAGAACATAATTTCGGCGACATATTCGCCTATACATGAACTCATCTCTGTTACGTCACGGCGCGGTGGTGGCGCTTCGGGCGTAACAGAGATGCTCCTCAATACAAAAACCAAAAGGCTCTTTAAAACCAAAACCGACAGACTCCACACGTAACCCGTAAGAAAGAAGAACAGGTCATAACGAGTCGACAAAGGACTTAAAAGGAAAAACCCGAACAGCGAACTTTTCCCTACACCTGGCAAGGTCAAACTTTGTACCTACAGGTTGCCTCAAGCTTGAAACACAAAAGCTTACCCCAAGCTTGAAACACAAAAGCACTAATCACAAACGAGCGTGTTGGGGACGAATTAAGTAAGTGCTTATACTTCCTTTACACGTCTAAGAAACTAGGGAGTTTTGTGTGTTGTTCCAATAATTCCTATTAGAATACCCGATACTCCTCTGTCGTCTTTGTGCATGCATAGTATCGTTATTGGGTATCGTTACCGAGCACAAAAACCGTCTACAAGAACTCCCTACCGTTTATCGTTTTTCTAGTGAAATTAAAGACGACGTTAGCAAGGAGAAGCAAGCTAACTAACCTCGAAGGGAAGGGAAACAGAGGTCGTCTTCGCTCCCTCAGCTCCCCTTGATAACCGGTGATTTCTTCAAGCAGACAGAGCCAGTGAGGACGCCTTCAGCGAACATCAAACATAGTCTTTGAGATGAATAGAGGCAGGTTCTTAATTTTGTTTTTGTTACAAAAGAAGGGTCATTTTGAAACAAGGTCTGGTGGGAAATGCAAGATGGGAGGACGGGTAAACAGCTCGTCCACACTTCTAGACGGGGAACACAGCCTGTCAGAAAAACTGGACATCGCCGGCTCATCTGACAAAAAGGTGCAATGCCAGGCTCTAAAGAGCGTGGGAAAGTAAAAGCTCTTTGAGTGAACCGACGATACGTGCCCCAGAACAGCACAGCGACGTGCATGAAAAAAGTTTAAAGGAACGCGGCAAGCCCGGTTCAATAGTTTTCCATGTTTTAAAAATAAGAGGCTTATTCAGCTCTTTGCGCACCTCGTGTGTTTGTTTACCCCTCAGACGCTCTGACGTACCGCTATTTACACCTCGTTTTGACCAATGACGGCGCGCGCTTTTCTGTCTCGTCTTCGCGCGTTCTGTGCGCGCCCTTTATGTTTCCCGCTGATTGTTGTGATATTCTTCGTATTTACTTCTTTTCAATGGGTCACGATAACGTTCGCAAGCGCGGAAGACACGTGTTGGTATCCCTACTTGCACGTCGTATAAACACTTACTTCGAATTTGACTTCGACCTCGACCGCGCACCTTGTTTTTCATTGGTAGCCTGCTTGCAACAGAAGGATGACGGTGATGACAACGCAATCACGGTTTGCTTGTGGTCCTGTGTGATGGGCTCTCACTTCCGATCGAAGTGAGAGCCATTCGTATCGCTCCGACGCTGTTAAAAAAACTCAGCAGACCTTTGAATGAGTCACTTGCTCAGAAATAACGAGGAGACAAATGTCTAAGCGCTTATTTAAGAAGAGTGGTCTCGATTTCAAATGAAAAGCACTTTAGCAAAATGTGGCCGATATGGTTCGTATGCAAAACTAGCTAGCATAAAAAAATAGATAAATTCAGAAATGGGGACGGACTATCTGTCTCTCCCTTGGAAAAGATTTATGTCATTTTATCAAGAATCTTTGAACACTCGTACTCCGCCTTCGCGCCCGAAGCGCTGTTCACGGAGTAAGGCTAGGCTGCTTAGTGGATTGAGTTTCGCCACGTGTTCGTCGCATATTTTCTGATGGGGTCCGGCATTTACAGACAAGTATCGTGCCAGTAGCTGACTTTTGCTCAAATAAACAGAAACTAAAACCTCTTTAGTCAATATTCACGTTCAACGGAGATCGAAGAACTCTGTTCGTATTCCTAGAATTCAAGAACTCAGGCATATGCACGACTGTGATGAAACCTATTATCGGCAACAGCAAGCGAAGCCCCCCACCTAAACGCCTGAGAGCACGTAAAATTCTCTCTGCCTGTTATTGCAACGGACACGACCGCGCGCTTGTTAGGAAACGTGGGCGACAAACCGTGATGCCAATCGGCTGCTTCCTCACATTTTTAAAATTATCATAATTCTCTGGCACATGGATAAAGCCCGTAAACTTCCGTGATTTTTCTAGAATAGAGTCAAGCCTTTCCGAGATCTTAGATGCTAAATAGCGTTTGAAAAAATCCGGAAGCGGCCGAAACAGATCAAATCCGGCGCACGCTTTTTCGTGTGGACGGATAAAAACGAGCGTATGCCGCATATTACCAGCATCAGAATATCTGTAAGCATTATTAAGCGAGAGCGAGAAAACAAACATTGTATACTCGGTTAGGGTCACACCAGTACTCGCGTAAAAGCTCCGGGAAGACGGTTTTATTTGTGTTTCCTTGAGGGGTGCGCGCACGAACGCGCTTACAAAAGACAAAAACATGGGCGCACGGACGCACGCAGATGCAATCAACGCGAAGACAAACCCTCCCGTGGCAGAATAGCACAGTGGCAAAACGACACCGTGCCCGGCCCCCCATACACAATGACACACACACCGAAAGGAGGAGCCGCCAAGCCGCGCTGCGTAAACGGAACCCCACGGCCATGCAGGAGGCTCAAACGTCTGCCGCGCACAGACAAAGCCCCCCTAACGTTCGCTAAGCTGCACGTGTACTACGCGACGCGGGTACGCACGCCCGCAGTATCGGGGCAGAAGAGCGGAGGCCCGCCAAACTCGTTGGAGTCGCCGCTGAGTCTGCAATACACAGTCCCCTCCCCATTTCCGATTTCGCGCTTAAGCCGCGCACAGTCGCACACGCAAAATGTCACATCCTCTCTCAAAGTCCTCCAAAGCAAACGCCCCTGCAGTTGCTTCTCCCAAACGTTACCAGACCACCCCTACGAATCTCGTTCTCGCCTCTAACAGAAGTTCCTTCCAAGTTTCTGCTCCGTCTACACTCTATACTAACCGCCACAGCATGTTTGTGCGTGTAAGGGCACCAACATGATGCAGACACTACCAAATGTCAAGTCGGCTATCAGTCGCCAAGAGTACGCACACGCAAGCAAATCCACACCAACATCTCCTGAGACCTGACTCCTAGTTCACGAACTCACTCCCCATCACATCACAAATTCAGTTCACGAATTCATTCACCATCACATCACGTATACACCAGAGTCACGAAGTCCTTCACCACTGCATCACGGGTGCGTCAGAGTTCACGAGGTCACTCCCCGTCACATCGCGGCTCCTTCCGAGTTCATGAAGTCACTCCCCTTCGCATCACGACTCGTTCCGCGTTCACGAAGTCACATCCACTTCACATCACGGCTTCTTCCGAGTTCACGGAGTCACGCCTGTTCACATCACGACTCCTTCCGCGTTCACGAAGTCACATCCCCTTCACATCACGAGTTCTTTCGCGTTCACGGAGTCACGCCCATTCACATCACGACTCCTTCCGCATTCACGAAGTCATATCCCCTTCACATCACGACTTGGTCCGAGTTCACGAAGTCATTCACAGCCCTTCACCATGACGCGGTGAGCGTGAGTGAGTGTGAGTGAGCGAGTTCGTGAGTGACTTCGCCGAGGTATGGTCCCCAGCTTTTGCCCATGGTACCTAAATCGAACCAGATTATCTTTTTGGAGAGCAAATGTGAGTTTTGAGGACCAAATACTTCCATCGGTCCTTAGAAACTATTTTTTTTTAGGTTGTAAAGTCAACTGTGCTTTAATTTAGGTGAAAACAAAGCACAAATTTTTCATTATTACTGCCAAATTTACGACTTAAACGCTGAAGTAAAAATTTATTCAAATTATGGGACGAGCAGGTGTTCCAAAATGTGTCTTCAGCGCATCAGAACGCAAGGAGGAGCGCGTCAATCGAAGGGCAACATAAATAATGCGCAGAAAACGCGTGATGACACGGCAGCCAAACGCTCACCGTCAATAGACCTTTTCCGCTTACTCTCGCCCCCGACCGCCAAGTAGGCATATCCGGTATGGGCGACGAAAAATATCAGAACGTTTTAACCTGCAAATAGTAAAAAAATAGGAGGGAGGCAAAACGAGAATGTGTGACGGCTACGCTTATGTCCTAAATGCCTTCTATTGGCGTGGCGACGGCAAAACAATGTTTTCGCCCATACCGGAAGTGACGTCAATTCAAGATGGTGGCGCCCTTGCGAAAAAGGTCTATAGTTTAGTCGGAGGAAAACAAAATAACGAGGGCGAGTTTGGAGAGTACACAAACACACGACGTGAGCAAGAAGCAGGGGAAGGCAGTTGCACGCGGTATACCACTTTATTTTGCTTGAAAGAACAAACATAGCTCCAAGATGAGGTGCAGAAATTGGCGCAAACTAATTACGCTCTAGATAATCTATGCTGAGATATCTTATTGTTATGTTTTGTTGAATTGGGTCTATTCCACTTTTTTGGTGATTCCAAAAACTTACAAATTCACTTTCGGAACACTAGCAAGCGCAGCATCTAGTGCCTTTATAAATTTGCCATCTGTTACAAACTTCTCAAAGACGAGTCGGTATGTTTGTTTAAAATTCGTTGGGTTATCTTCATCAAGGTTGTACATTGATGGCGTACTAGTCGGTTCATTCTTCTTTAATGCAGTTCCAGTTACTTGCATTGTAAAGTTCACGCTGGATAGCGTCATCAACTTTACGGTTGCGTTGCGTTGATCTGGAGGAAAAAAATGTTTTAGTCGCACGCAGCTTTGTATTTAACCTTACAAAACGGTCATTCTGGCATTCACAAAAAAAAAAAAAAAAAAAAAAACTTGCTTTGTTCGCAAGCAAGCATTCTATATCAAAGGCCTACAAAGTGCAACAACATGCTCTTAAAACGTGAATTATCCCACTGCGGTTATGATTATTGGTCCATTTAAGAAAAAAATAAAAAGAACTGGGTCTTGAAAGCAAGAAAATAATACAACCAGGCTCGTAGCGGGGGCGCCAGTGCGAAAGCGCCGAGTGGCAGAAGGGTATTGAAACATTCTACAAGCTGAGGTCCTTCTGTATAAGGACGTTAGTCGGGACCGGCGGCCGAGACGACCTTCTATACATGAATGGGGAACACACAGGTCTCACTCCACAGTAAATAAACCTCATCATCAAAATGCTTCGATTCCCGAATGAAACGAATTCACTAACTTGAAAAAATTGTCATACGGCATTTTGTACACTGCCTGCTTTTATTCGTGATCTATAAATTGTATTTCATTCTGCTTCGGTATTCTTTGCACCTTCTATTTCAGGGCCTTCCCAAGGAACTTGTAGAACTTCAGACAACATATTAGGTACCATCGGGCCCACTATTCATTTTTTAAACCAACTTTATGCGAAAAAGAAAACCACTCAGTATTTTTTTGAGCAGTGCCGTTTGATCGGTGCCACCATTAGAATACTGATAATAAGTTACTATAAAACCTGTAATCTACTGGCCGACAGGTCAAAACGATGTAGGCTGCCTTGACAGTGATAAATAAGTTTAAGGCTGTACATTCGGCCGCAAAAAAATATTAGCACAAGGGATTGGTGGCCAGTGCGGTGAAACCGCCACATGCAGCGTTGTATTTTGCGACTACACGGGGAGCGAGAGTGACCGGGACGTTCCCACCTTTGAATCGCGGGGGTGCTTGGAGAGATATCGTTCGTAGCAATATTTTTATCTTGCGGTCGATCTTTTTTCGAGGGTGACGGGTCACGTGTGAGACGACGTTTTTTTTTCCTAGTTTTTTTTTTTTTTGTTGTTGTAATATTGTTACATTATAAGCACACCGCGTTTCATATATGAGCTGTGCGTAGAGCGTGCAAAACCAGAGTACATGTGCGCAGTCACGCTGTGTCGTTTCGAAAGCGCGCTTGGGGAACGGCTCTGGTGTGCCGACGTCCCCGGTTCATCCAAGAGTGGACTAATCCAGCAATCGCGGCCCCAGCGTGCTTACGCTACCAAAGCGCCACGTGTCGCCTTAACGCCGGACGGGCAATCACTCTCTTGTGCCATTTTTTTTACGGCCGATTATACGTAAGCACTACTTGTTTAATGTATCTTTTATAAAGAGTGGAGCGTCAATATTGCATTAATGTTTCTAAACTAAAACTGTTCCAGGAGCTTTAGATTAAAAATATGCGACTATTGAGTATAAACTTCGGTAAAAAGAAAAATAGAATTAGTCGAGTATATTTGTCGGCTGCGTACACTTTTTTCTTGAGAAAAATAAAATAAACGTAATATAGTAATAAATAAGAAAGTATTGTAATTCAAATGCACCAAAGGAGGTCAACTAAACTGGTTTATTATTATTACTATTCAAGCTAATTCGAGAGAGCATTTTGATATACGTAATTCACTTCAAACAGTTTTAACGAGCAAAAGCAAATGTGAAACAAAAGTTCTCGGGGATGTTTGGACGATGAAAGTTAAGTTCTTCGTACCCCCTCCTTTCCTGTCTTATATTGTCACGAATGACAAATGACGAGGCGAAGAATAACTGAAGAAACTAAACGTTTAATGGGGCGAACTTCTGCCCAAAACAAAACATTCTGCCTAGAACGTTCGGCGCGTCGAATAATAGGTCAAACAGGGTTCTCGAATTGACTAGAAATTTAAATTGAAAGAATAATTAAAAGACGAGTCGCTCCCAAGAATCGAACCCTGAGCTTCCGCACGACAGTCAAGCGCGGTAACAACTCGACCGCGCACGGCTCGCTCGCCGAGGTGCGTGGCAATACATATGTGTTTTGAAAACTCCGACAACCCTCTCTAGTGCGTTCTCTGCATATATATATATATATATGTATGTATATATATATATATATATATATATATATATATATATATATATATTTTTTACAGATGGTGTTTCCGGTGTCACCGAATGATGGTGTTTCCAGTGTCACCCATGTGCCATATGTCCTGCTAAAATTTATTCTTCATTGGCGTATGAACGCATTTTAATACCCAGGTCTCTGGAAACTGCTTAATAAATTGCTGCAATACGGTCTGCTTACATATCGTTCGTATATTCAGTAAAACTATGTTGTCAAGTTTTCTACAGAATGTGGACAGCACACTTAGGACACAGCATGCTGTTGCAGAAAACGACATGGCTATTTTTCAATTAAACAAAAGGAGTCTTTTTTTAAACTAATTATCTTTATACATTAATTTCTTAATTGTAAACCCTTCAAGTATTCTGTATACAGAGCTGTGGTGTTTTGCAAATAATATAAAAGGCGTTAAAAGTTATTTGGAACAGATTTTTTTTAAGGGGCTTAGGTTAGACTTGCTTTCTTTCCCATTGATTTATGAGGCTCGGCGGATACTAGACGAGGAAGTAATCGTCATGGAAAGATAGTTAACTAGCTAAAACCCGTTCCTTAACCTTTTTAGTTATTAATTTTAGGGGTCATGTTGCCATTGCAGTATTGACAACAATTACAACAAGAGGACAGACAATAAAAACCTTTTGCGAAAATGTAATCGTTTTCTAGATATTAATTGATAAATTCTATATTTCCTTGCTCGGTCTTAAGAATTGCACGCAAAAAGAGCGCAGCAAGTATTGTCCACAATGACGCTTGGAAGAGTGGCGTAGTCGTTTCAAGCATGCCGTCCCTATCTTGGCAGCGTGTCCATGGTAGGTGTGCCGATGACACAAGTGACGATGTGACTGAAACAACTACTTCACTCTTGTAAGCGAGATCGGGAGCAAGGCCTGTAGCGCAGCGCCATGTTTCCGCGCAACTTTTAAACTGGGCTAAGAACGTAAATATTTATCAATTTATATCTGAATAACTATTAAATTTTCGCAAAATATTTTATGTGAACTGCGAACTAGGCGACTCCCGAGAACTTCGAAATAGGCGACTCCCGAGAAACTGTGAACTAGGCGACTTCCGAGAACAATATAGAAATCGTATGTATGATTACAATTCACTGGCTCATTTAGAAGCAAAGTTCGGAGCCTGTTGTTGTAAGTTGTCATTCATCATTATTATCTGGGGGGGGGGGGGGGGGGGGGGGGGGAGTTGAAAGCTGTCAAAAAAACAGGACTGTAATCTTGACTTAATCTGACGTAATAGTATCGAGGACTTTATTATAAACGCAATAAGCTTTGGACTGTTCCTAAGGTTACTAAGCAAGGGGCTATGACACGCCAAAAATAAAATATGAGATAACAATACTCCTAGGACCCATTGTATGATCCTATAATCCTGCTAGATTTGTTTTGAAAATGGCGCGATAGTTTCGTGCCATTTCGCACCAAAATGGTGCGATAGTTTCGAATCCGCCCCAATCAAAAACGCCACGGCTGGTGTCGTAGACTGGTGACGTAGCCAGCCTCCCGCGCGGCGTCCCCTTGCACGCACTCACGGACTTGGCTCTCATGGCGTCTCGAGCTTCAGTTTCCTCGTTTACCTTCCATGTTTCGAGCATACGGTCCGTGATGATTACGTCTACGGCATCACTCGTTTTATCAAAGTGTCCGACATTGATCGCAGCAGCGATGAAGGTAGTTGCTATCAAGATATGTTGGAAGCTGTTGATTTTGACTGCGACACGCTGGCGACCAGCTCTAGTGACAGCGAGTTACGGACGAACTCGCCATGGTCACCGTCGTCCGGGAATATCTCGCAGGCGCATGCAGGGTGGAAGGTCAACGGGCCGGGGGCGAGAGCGAGAATAGGGTTCGGGTTACCGAGTTGCGAAAGCGGTTCTGATCGTACCGCGGCGAGGAGAGCTTGGGCGATAACGGGGGCGCCTAGAATGAGAGAGCGTTAGTCACACCATTGTGTCCGTAAACCACGTCATCATACGTACCTTATGGACACCATTGTGTGACTAACTTGGGCAGTGTTGCCTGGTCGCCAGACGAAAATGATGAAAATTCGTAAATTGATTATTGCAATTACCAGAGCTCTAAAAATCGCGTAACTTGGTGTATATACTAAGTAGCCTATAAAAATTTCATTTCAAGAATATTATATTCGTTTCATTTTCGTGTCAATCCCTTTAAAACAACACTTAAGTCACTGTAACGCTCCTAGACAAGCCTTTCTTGTTTATCGAAAGATTGTCTAATACACTTTGTCTTTATGTTCAAAACTTTTCTCTTCATTTATGTCCTTCTTGGTAAAGCATATTTATCCGTACATTTAGTCAACATAGTATTGTAGCGGTTTCAGGAGGAGGAAGGGCGAGCAGCATCGAATCTCCGACAGAACTGCACAAAATGCTCAATCATCTACTCCTGTGTGGACTACTTAGTATATATATTTCGGAGTGAGTCATGCTTTCAGAAATAGTGTCAGTTGTAAGCGAAATACTTTTTAAAAAGCAGGAAATACATGTGACCAGAAGACATTCCCATGTGTGTGTCTGATTCAACATGATTCTAACTCTTGCATTTCTGAGTCAGTTCCTTAGTATGCTCCTCGTATACGTCATCGCTCACGCATTGCCCTTATTTTGTTCCTCACAAGTGCCAATAATTCAGTAGTGTCGTCTGTACAAAATCGCGATTACCTAACTACGCCCAATGGCTTCGTGTATGCAGCGAAACATCTTAACTTTACATATCATGGATCACAAACTCTTTTTACTTTAAGGTATAAAACAATTTGCTTACCCTTGGGCAAAGAGAGGATAAGAAGACCTGAGGCGTTTATTAAAAGATCATATTTGACATCTTCGTCATCTTTAAACTTTGGTAGCGTAGCCTGCAAATTCTCGAAATTCACTTTGCAGGTTACTCTTGATTCGATGCTCTTATATCGAACAGAGCAAGGCGCGGAGCGATGAAATGAAGTTCCAAGGCCAGAGAAAGTTCCAAGAGAAAAACTGCTGAAAGTGGTGGGCGTCATAGAATTGCTGAGAAATAGTTGCACGTTCGAAACGGTTACGGGGTCAGTATCTGGAATCATCTCCTGAACTGCAGAGTATAAGCTGTAGGTTACATTATCGATATATTGGTCGAGATTACTTGTTGCGGGTCCGCTGTCTGGAAAATAAGGTTACAGTAGGTCGTCAATACATGGCGTAATCTGCTGTAATGTACAAAAAACGAAGACATCACAAATAAAACCATGAATGTATCAACAGTGTTGCTATGCTTTGTGACAACTATATTTTGAAATGTTCTTACGGCGGTGGCGTTTTTCAATTTTATTTGAGACAATTATACGCAGTGCATAAAAGCGCCCTTTTTTTTTAAATATGTAGTGAATAATATAAAAATTAATTACGGCGCATATACCTTCTACTCGAGACGAGTGATAAAACATTATTCCTATCAATTACGTACTCGGTTTTGACATATTACAAAGACGGAAAAGGCCGAGCACGAATGTTTCTCGCACTTTCTACCCCTTACCTTAGAACAATATTGTTCAGAATATACTGGGTGTTTGATTTTAATTAAGCAAAACGTGAATGCTACATTTATACATTTTGTACGTGTGAGCTGTTCGGCCGGGGGGAGAGAATATAGGAGGCTAACCGTTACGATAAGTCGTATAATTACCTAAAATTGGTCATTAACTTTTAATTAGTAAAAATTAAACATCGCTCAAATTTAGAACTATCTGAGCGTAATCTAAATCAGTACGTTTTAGACATGCTTGCAGCCCATAAAAAGCGCGGGTTTCGTTAAGCAAGGCATGTAGTTGGGCTAGTTGGTGGTACATACTGTTTGGAGGGAACAGCGCAAAAAGAACGAAGGACGAGGTCGAAGAAACACACAGACAGGGCGCTGGGTTTCGTTAAATTTACCACCTGTGCAACATGCGGAAGGCTGGGAGTGCGAAATGCAGAGGATAAAATCATCTTCCACGTTCGCAGATTATAACGCTCCTGAATCAGGTAATACATAATTTCGTATATTTTTTTCCGTAAGACTAGTATAATAAAGTTAGCAGACAACAGCTGCTCGCTATTTATAAGACCATATATGCGTCTGAAGCTTGCATCACTCGATTCATAACTTTGAGGAGGGTCAGGATGGTATGAATTTGGGCGAGTTGGTGATTCATTGTAGAAAATTAAAAGAGCTAAAAACGCAAAGGGCTAGTAGAACAGCATACACCACAGAGCGCTTTGAAGGCTTTGTTGGCAAAATCTGATAATGAGGGCCAATTTGACTAAATAAAGTATCGAAAACTGCCTGATGATTAAACATGACAGACTTACACTCATCGCTCGTCACGAAAAAGACTTGAAATGAAATCCACAAAATCCTTTTGGCATCCATGTGGTTTGAGATTTCAATCTATCAGGGGACAATGCAGTTCAATAAAAAAACAATATTCTAAAGGAAAACGATGCTTAAAGCATTAACAACGGCGTTTAAATCGGTTACTCTCTTTTTAGCAGAAAATACACAAAATATTATTTCTTACCTATCACCCGCACACAGTGGAATGTATTACGGCTGAGTACGTCTATACCCTTCTGGAATGTATCATGAGCAGGAGCAAAAGCGAAAGCGTTGTGGATATTAATACGTAATATATGAACTTCAATCCCCCTAACCTTTCCTTACAAAACATTTGGTGGAGTTTAACAATCATGACGTGACGAGATCGGTTCAGCCCATTTGGAGCAGGAAACAAACGAACAGGAAGCTTGTACAATCTGAATATGTATACATTTCTTTATGCTTTAACGTCATTTCACAGTTACGGCAGTAAACACGGAAGAAGGAAGTATAATCTCTAGCTAGAAACAATTTTTCAAAAGCAAAATGTGTGAAGTTAGAAAGTACCTATAGCTCAAACGCTAAGATGACCTTTTGAAGAAAAAAGCAACATGTCCACTGAGTAAATGTATACATGCTTTACTATTAATACTAATAATAAACTTTGTTTCCCATTCGAGATTTACGAATTAAGGCAACAAGGAGAAAAGGCTGTAGAACAGCGCAACGAGGCTCCTGCTTTCCGATCCTTTTTATTTTTTACACCACCAGATTTGTTGGAGTTTTTGCGACCGCCAGTTTACATTTATTTATGAAAGGGACATATTAGAAAAACTTTTACATGAGCGATGCAAACATTTTTCTACTACTAATAATTACAACTTAGCATTTTTTCCTTGAAATTTATGATCTATGAAACACACAAGGCTTTTTTTTTTTTCTCTACGTAATGGCAGTCGCAGAAACAAAATCGGGGGAAAACGAACACAGTTTACCATCTCAACTCGAACCCTCTCAAATTGGCGCGCCCTAAATTCCACGCATTATTAAAGGGACCATGAAATGATTTTAAAATCGAGTTTCATTCACCGCACGTCGTAAAAGGTGTGAAAAGAAACACAAAAACACAAAAATAGGGAGCCAAAAAAATTTATTTGCTATAGAACTTTTAAAAGAAAACTGGACTCTTTTGCGCCTTCCTTCCTTCGCCTGTTCACTACGATGCAACCGCGGAAATGGAGCACGTCAGCCAAATCCAGGTCGCCTATTGGGTAAGAGCCTACCTCACCAGCTCCGCGATCGTAAACAATAAATAGCCGGCGAATGTTTCCTAAAAGTTTTGTTAAATAATATTCAGATCCACACTTTGTAGCATAATTAGAGATATGTGGCGAAAATTGCCAAATTTGATAATGCTGAGAGCCAAGCGCCATCTATCGTGTGGTAAACGAAGCAACTACTGCGCGTGCGCAGTAGGGCAGGGCCGACAGTTACTTGGGTGGCGGCGGCCGACGAACGTTTATTTTCTTTGTTTTCCTTCCTCTCAAAACTCTGACTGACTGAACGTTTATTTTTCTACGTGTTCTTCCCGCGCGTGCCGACTTCAAGCAGCAAGAAAACAGTACTTAAAACAGACCACGACGAACAAGAACGCTGGATCCACCGACTCCGACGAAGCGAGCTGCTCAGAATATAGGCCTAGCAGGCATTCCGACTCGGCGCTGCGTTGCTTCGTCGCAAGACCGTCTGCCTACGACCGGCTGGCGTGCTAAATGGAATATGCCCGCGCGACCCTTGTGGACCCTTCCGGTATTATAGTTTGATCACTGACCTCAATTCTAGATTAAGAGGTGAGGTCAATCTCTTCCCCTTGTTTTCCGAGGCAGTGTTGACGAACACTCGTCGAAAAGGGACTCTCGTCGATTCTATCTTCTTGTTTTGTGTGATATAGAGCTGTAATAAACGCCGTATGGATTACCTTGGTAACACGGTATGTACACTTTGTTATTGGTATGCCATTTTTATTCTGACAGACTGCACGTCACTGTCGAGCTATAACAGTTCGTGGGAGGTATACGTACAACCCCGGTCCAACCTTTCTTTGCCGAGTGTCGCGTCAGTATCGAGTTGCAATTGAAAAGAACGGTCCCGAAGCGCTTACAAACAGCGCGAATACAGCACTTCCATCGAACGCGCGCGTCCGCTTCGAGTGTAAACAGGTATTTACGTGGCTCTTGCTGACACTCGTAGTTCAAACGTATCTTTTTTACCGTCGGCTCGCTCCTGCATCTCCGAGGCCGCGAAAAACGCCATCTACGTCGCTTTGCAAACGACTGACACGGGCCGGCCCTTCTGCCAACAATGACAGGGTGGTTGACTTCTGGAGTCTTCACCGGAAGACTCGCTGCACTTCCCAAAAGGCATACCGGCGTATGGGACTAGTCCCATGCTGTCGCTGTAGCGCAACATATCTCATTGAATTTCGCTCAGCTGCGATGTGGCGATGAGAGGCGCCGATTCAGGGAATACGTCGGTGGCATCAGCGCAGTAAAACCTACCGGCGCACCCCAACTCGTTGCCGCTAACACTCCCATTCTCCTATTGCCGAGATAACTTCCGGTTCCGGAAACGGTTTACGTCACGGCTTGTTTTGCGGTCAGTTAGAGAAAAAGAAAAAGTCGATATTTCAATAATTTTTTGTGTAGAAGTTAATAAACCGAGACGAAAACGGATGCCTGTTCGGCATTCAGTGAACATTGACGGTTTAATGTAAAAGTTATCTGGAAAAAGTAAAAAGGTCATTTCATGGTCCCTTTAATGTACCGCTTATTCCCGTAAACCCAGCGATTGGGCACGAGCCACGATCCGAATGCATTTCGAAGTACCTGGATTGTCACGAGCCAAAATCGAATGCCTACGCAGTCGTCGTGTCCACTCTATGAGCGGCATTTAACGCAGCTGGGATCGCAAAACTTCATGACGCACTCCTCTGGATCGCATTGTTCGCATCGTCCCCACATGTTCCGATACCATGTTTTGAGCAGAGAATAAAAGAAAAGGTCAGATTTTATCCTTAGAATTCCACCACGACGAAGACGCGTCTTGGTCAGTGGCGTTGCGTTGGAGTATACTTGTGTCCCACCGGTGCCAGTAAGCTGGTGTATATATATATATATATGTATATAGGTGGTTTCATCTCAAATCGTGCAGGCAAAAAGGGTCGAAATTTTAATTTCGATGAAAAAAATATATGTTATGGCGCCGTTTCTAAAACCGCAGTCGACACAAACCGCAAATTCGTCGGATTTTTTTGTTCTCGACTTATGAATTTTTAAAGAGGCCGCGGCGAAAAGCAGTGTTTTTCACACTCGCCGTGGGTCGGATGTCTCGCTTGATCTCCCGCCATAGATTTTCAGTCCACATTATATTATGTTTTTTTCAAGCACTCTGTGGACACATTTAAAAGGCTCCAATACCATGAAATAATTTTAGGCGTTTTGCTTTTTTTCTGTAAAAATGTCAAAAACGCCTCCTCGGTCAATTGTTGACGAACTTTGACAATTAATTACTGGCGATCTACTTGGGTTACACCGATTTTTTTATATCCACGGAGAGCCCAAAACACGCTCTTAATATTTATTATAAAATGACTCGGCTGTATAAAATATCCTTTGCGGTACGTTTACGTTAATATTAAGCAAAAACCACAAGGTACCATTTTTGAAATCGATTTTCTCAAAAGTACCATTTTTTATTTTTTTTATTTTTTGTTCAAATGTAGATATTATAGTTCTCTACACGAAAATCAATCCTAGAAAGTGTATATTTTGTTTGTATGTTTTATATTTAGGCCTCAATATCGGAAACAAAACGTCTTTGTTTTGCAAGACATAAGTCAGACATTGCGACCCATGCGTCTCTATGAATTGTGAAAAAGTTTTCTTGAACTTTCTTCTGCATTTGGTAATAAATTATAAACGAATTTTGTGGTATTGAATATTCATGTATGTTTTGATAAGAGCGGGAACCACGAGATACATATCTAACCAAATCAGCAGGCCTAGTAGACTTTCAATAACTAAAAGGCACAGACGTTGTATTGTTTCGATTTATAAACCTTTC